ACACACACACACACACTCCAAAAATAGGCTTTGTGGTCCATGTGGGGTTTGAACCTATTACCGTGGCGCTGACTTGCTCATATATTTTAGGAAAGCTTGTATGTTACTGACAATATCCTACATGAATCTCTATAAAATCCAGCTGAAACCAACCATCTTCACATCATCTTATGTGATGGTTCTGCTCTATACGAGCTTGATCTTGCTGTTCTATGAGCACAATCCCTTCTGATAGAAAATCTATAAACTGGTTTCGTGAGCTGCTCACACAAGTTTGACCAGAATATGACAGTTGTTTTATTCAGTAGGGTCAGTGCACGCAGGTCATGCTCTGACCATTGATTCTGGTTTTCTGGTGGGAGGTTTAAGGTTTGAGTTAGATTTTGACCGCATGTTTATCTTGTGTATGAAGTAATAGTATTCTCATCCATCACCTCGACCAACATCAGACCACCACAACCATACCATCCCCGCTGACTCCAGTGAGAAACTCCACACCCACAGCTTACCTCCTGCTAAGAGAAAATGGGTCATTACCGTTGTGTTTAGGACCAACTCAGGATTGGCTGCTACAGGATGCACACAAAAAGGCAATTTGATCACACTGTATCTAGGCTCTAAATGCCAGATTTAGCTCAATTTAACAGGTAAAAATATATAATTGAACTCCGGGGTATAACGGTAAAACAATAGCAATCTCAGCTGCATCAAACGTGATGGTGATAAGAAAGTCATGACAGACCTACAGCAGGACACTTATAGTATCTAAAGTGCAGCTTAGTGGTTAACACTGATACAAGACAGCGCTTGACATTTAACATATTTTCCTCCCATTTTCTACTCGATTGCCAGCAACAAAAACTGCAGAAAACATAGCTAATTATGAAACAGATGTTAACAATCATGATCTAAAAAAAAAAAGTGATTTGAGTTGGAAAGCTGACTTGCTTTCCTTCTTAGCAATGTCACTCCGGGTACAATTTGGATGAGAATTCAAATTCCTTTTCTCAAACACATTTACGTACTGGGGATCTGAAGCAGGCGATTAGTGTCTGACTGAAACAGTACTGTAGATATTTTTTTCAGTATATGAAACTACAAATGGAGTTTTTGTCTTATTGAAGCTTTGTTCAGTAGATAGAAACCATAGCTTTCAGTAGTTAGTGCAGTTTCACTATCACTATTTCACTAGTTTCCTCTATTAATTCTGCTCTATAGTATATTCCTGAGGCAATGATGCTTTACAATGCAGCAAATAAAGGGAGTGCACAATAAGTTCACGCCATGAGAGCACGGGGCCACCGGAGCCACGGCTTCATCCCACCTGCATCCCACACATTAGACAGCAACCGTTCGCTTGAGGAGACAATGTCTTTGCAGAGAGAGTGCCACATTTCTTCTATACTGCAGGATCCTTTTGAGAAAGACGTGCCTTTAAGGTAAATGACGACCAAGAAAAGTCTCTTTACAATTAGCTACACACCCTCAGGTCTTTAAGTCTGGAAAAACACACCCATGGGTCAGGAAACGTTCCTATATCTGATGGTTTTCCTCAGTACCTGTGCTGTTATCTTAACGGGATCCTTACGTCACTACTACTATTTGAATAAGTAGGTGTTCATGAAGCAGGTACAATGACAGTGTATGGTCACACACTATATTCACTTTTGGTTCAAACAGAGACTTTTAGAGACTTATTGCTCCTTATATTTCCTCTATATGGAGTCTTCACATTTTTTTTACTTTGTCATGTTTCCAGACAAACTGGCGATGTAACATTTCCAACCAGACACACACACACACACACACACACACAGAGGCTACAGAAAGATAACTTTCACATCTGGTCTGCAGAGAAGTCCTACATCTGGCCTCTAACTAACTCTCTGGTTCTTTCACAATGCCAGGCAAGCATGACAGTGTATCCAGACTGTAGGCATGTATGTGTGTTTCTTTGTTAGTGCGTGATTGTGTGTGTTTGTGTGTGTATAAATGTCTCTGTATGTATGTAGTAATTTCAGTGATTGGAAGGAGATTGATCTTACTCAGCACGGCAAAGCTCTTGGCCAGACAGATGGAAAAAAGAACTAGCTTAGACTGAGCCCTCGCAGGTTTCCTGTGTGCACGTGTGAGTTTGTGTTTGTGTGTGTAAATGGGAACCGTGGCCGCGTTTCAGTGCCAACGGAGAATTAGCAGGTCTACCCGAGGGCGTCCAAACTTTTCTTTTAAAACTTTAGGTAAACAAAGTGATTTGTTTTGGAAAACTCAGTGTCTATTTTTAATGGAAATAATCTGCGTTTTTGTGGACAGTTTTATAATTATGTATAAATTGTACAAAGTACACCGAACAACTGGAACTCATGTTGTCATGATAAACTTAGTTTTAAGCATAAATTTTTAAATTACATTCCAGTAAAATTTCATAGAGATCTAATAAGTCAGGCTGGGTTTAGAGGTTATCTAGAATATTTCCTTTTGGAGTAACAGTGCAGCTACAATGAACACTCGAACAAGCAAAATAACATATTGTATTGTGCTATTGTGTGCTTTTTTATATATGTAATGAAATTTAACGGCAAATCCGGGTTTAAGAGGTAAGTTAAATTATGCCAGAAGGAAAATCATACTGTCCCTATACTGTAATATAAATAGGCTATTCATATACAGCATGGCATCATAATTCAGGATGCCTACAAGGTTATACTGTATGAGTTGTTATTGTCAAAGCTGTTCTGAGCTGCATCAATACAGCAAATCAATATTTTGGTTTTGGCCTGGTTTCCCATAAATAATTGTAGGATTTGGATCACTATTGCACTGGCAGCTTAAAAACAAAGAAGATTAAAGATCCATTTGGTAGTTGGCCGTTTTCCATCCTGTTCTTCTTACCTTTAAATTCTTTACCAGCCTGTTCAACGCTTCACATTCCTCCTTTAGGACAGATCTAGAGAGACAGACAGTCAGTATGTTTATCATCAGTACTCCAGTTGTTTTTTATAAAAGAAAAAATATTGAGCCAAAAGCTTAAATCTAGGTCAAAGTGGAAACTATGCATTTGACAGTCACAACACGCATCCACAGACAAACCCCAGTTAAAAGCTTTTAAAAATGGCTGTGGTTTGCTTTCTTAAATGCAGTGAAAATGCATCCAAATATTTAATGATGAATGTCCTAATTTTATGAGTATGATCAATTTGAACGGTAGCATATGAAATTTGCTAAATATTAAATGTTCGTGTATCGTGTAGTGGTTAAATCTGTGAGAAGTATCCACTATGTAAGCACACAGTGGCAGACTGATAATGAAACCCACCACACAACTGAGGCAGTGACAACAGAATAGGTACACTTGGTGTCTGCTTAGAGTTTATCCTCTGCAGTTTTCATAAAGCTACTGAGGATACGGTGTCCCATTTTTCTTTTCCCTCCCTCTCTCTCTCCCCACCCCTCCACACTTTCTCCTTCTCTGGTTACATAACCATAGAAGACTTCTTTCAAATGAAAAAGAAACTTCTGCCTGCTCTGGGATCCATTTTCTGACAATGGCGCCTTTTGTTCTGGGTTGAGTCAGGAAATGGGGAAGAGAGGGAGAGAAAGAGAAGTGGAGAAAGAGAGAAGGGGGGCTCTCTTCCAAGGTAGCCCCAGTGACTGTATTGCCCCGTGGGCCTCAAAGTGAGGGATGGAGGAAGGAAAAGAAGGGATGGAGTGTGATGGAGGCAGGGTAACGACAGAAGCCGGCGAGGAGAATTGAGGGGAAATTAAGAAAAAAAAGAGGAAAAGGAGAGGCCTCTGAGGAACTCACAGACATACAGAGCACACATGAACTGTCATTTATTATTTCAATGATCTATATAGTGTACCATAAATAAATGGCTTTAATGTTTTTTATTTTTTATATTGTACCAGTGTAATCTATCGTTTAACTCTATTGGTTTACAGTGCATATTCTGTTGCTCCTCTATGCTTCTGGTTGCCAACCTGCGGGGCCGAGACCACCCAGTGGGTCCCAAGAAAAATTTTAGGGTGATTAAAGAAATAGGAAAGAAAAAATATAAATATCTTGCATAATGTTATGTTATCTTTTTTCCCTTTTCTTATGAAAAACTGAATAATTAGACCTCTAGAGGAAAGAAATTATGATGATAATGATTATTATATCATTATGAGTGTATACGTCGGCTGATAAGTCAAAAAATAACTGCAATACAGAACTACCAAACTTGTTTGAGGTAATTAAGAAACAGTGTCTCCATCACATAGTTTGTCCACCAGGGAGTACTGACACGTGTTTTGGTCACAGTTCTTTAAAAACACAAATCCGAAAGGGAACCAAGATTGAATTTAGCTCCTAAATCATCAATATATTATTTGGTCATGAATATTAATCGGTCTGGCTGTCATCACAAGCAAAAAAGGATGGGAAACACTGCTCTGTGTAACTCACTTGAGGCGGTCCACCACTTCATTAATGTCAGTGACATTCAGCTTGTCTCTCACTGCCTCAATCTCATCCTCAGCACTGGACTGGCCTGAACAGCGAGAGTTCGGTCTGAAGCAGGAGGAAATGGAAAAAGTAAGAAAGGAGAGGACAAATGTGTTATGAATTATGTCATTCCAGTAAAATATTCAAGTTCTGTTTTAGCGGTGTTAACTTACCTGCTTTCATTGCCAGTATCTTCAGGGTTGGTGCTTCTGTAACAGCTGTCAAGGTGACCCAGAGCGTAGTCCACCGTCTCAGGTTTGTACCAAAACACAAATTCCTCGCCATCTCTATAGCAACAACAGCACAGACAAAGAAAATCTTTACACAAGTCCGCTTACTGTATCTGCAGCTCTTTCAGTGTTTGTATGAATGAGTTTTCAGCAATGCTGAAAGAGTATACATAGACTCACATAGACTCAGTGCAGCTATAAGTGCTCAGATGTTTAAACTTAAAAGCTACCTCTTCAGTTTGGCTCTCGATTGTAATGTTTTATAACCATTTTTCATTATATTCTTGTTTTGAAATATTTTATTGGCTTATCATTTCAATTTTTTTGTACACAAGTCTACAATAGTTCTACTGTTTATATTTTTACTCAGTCGCTTGTAAAGCATTTAAATTACACTAACCTGTATGAAAAATGCTATATAAATATAGTTTGAATGATTATTTGATTGAATTAATGAGAGCCTCAACAGAAGTCACATTATTGCTTTCTGCAGGTTGATCTGGTGGTGGTTTTAATTTCATAAAGGCTATACAAAATGTGAATTTACTAGAACCTTAGTATCAGAGCTGGACTCATTTAATATTTACAATGTCTATCTGAAAAAAAACTGATCTCAGGAAGAAAAAGATAAGCAGCAACTTTGTATTTTCTGAATGAACCCCGGGAGAAAAAGAAACAAGCAGATGGTGAAGGCAGCTGTTGGTGGGGTGACCTGGTCAGTTCTGCTTAATCTTATAGTCGCTACATAAGGGGAAATGCATCTTCTCTGACCACTCAAACAATGACATGGAGGCGTGTGTGTGTGTGTGTGTGTGTGTCAGGACCACACAGGAGGAAGCCAATAAGATAAATCAGTTGACTTTTACAAGGTACACACCCACCAACACACCCTCATACAAAAATCTTGCATGGGGATGGGAGCTATTTTTATCCCCCTTCTGTTGATGTGGCTTTAAGCAAATTAGTTAGTTGGGCCTTTGCTACAAATACAGGAAAGTGTTCTTGGCTAACATGACTAGTAAATTAGGTCAATACACATACAGACATACACACTAATGATGTTCGGGAGAGAGTACGAGAGAGAGAAAGAAACATGCTGGCCGCCATTAAGATGTTTTGGTAATAATTTCTCAATTTCCACGCCAACAAAGCATATTAAATTGAACTAAACTGACGAACAGAGGGTTGTGGAGCATTATTAAGAGGAAGTGTTATTACGGGGAAGTGTGCTCAGTTTACTCCTGAAAGCCATTCAGCTGATATACACTTGGGACTTTGCCTAATTGAACGATCAAAGGCCCGAAACACACACGTACACACAGACGCACACAAACAAACACACAGTACCATGCATCAAAGTCAACAAGTATACCACAGCCAGCTTCAAAGCGACAAAGCGGTTTGTGTTGGCACAGCGTGTGTGGCACCAATACTTTTTTTTGGTAGTGTTCCTACGCAGCCAATAACAATGGGATACGTTTCTCCCACTGAACTGGGCCACATCACGGCCGAAGCACTTTACAAGAGTGACTTGTGATGTGCGAGCAACTGTGGTTTCAGTTTGTGACGTGCTCAGTGACACTTTAGTAAGACACAGTGCTGTTGTGGGTTGTGGGCATCAGACCTGCAGCCTTTTGGATGGTGGATTGTTAGCTTAAACATCGGGCCTTAATGTCATCCTGACTTAAAAAAAAACCCCTGTTAGATTACTTCAAAATAAACCCCACCCAACTGGTCTGTTGTCATATCAGTGTTACATTATATTCTTTCCATTTCTTCTGATGCATGAACTGTCTTAGATGTGGGGACTACACTGTGGGAAGTCTTAAATGAATTTGAATTCAAAACACCCGCAACAATGCTGCAACAGAGTTGTAGCCATGCTATAGCGTTGTGGCTCCAGGGACAGCAGTGTCTGTCAGTCCATTACTTTGGTTCAAACTGAAATATCTCAACAACCTTTGAATGGATTTCCATAAAGTTCTGAACAGATATTCAATCTTCATGACTTTGGAGATCCTCTGACTTTTCTTCTAGCACCACCATGAGGTTCATTTGTGGTTTTGTTGAAAAGATTGCCAGAAAACTAAACTAAGATGGTAAACATGGTTGTTGAGTGTTAATGTTGTATGTTTTAGAATGGGGATGAAATGGATCAAATGCGGCATCCACAAATGCACTAAATTTGTAATTTTGGTAAAAATGAATGTTTATTCTACAGAATCGGTCAACATGGCACAAATCTGTTTGTGCAGTGAATCCAAACAGAGGGCTGGGGATAATGGAATACAAAATAAGTGCACACAAAAACAAAACAAAACGCCCTAAAACCCACTAAAGAGTTGCCTGTGGCTTATAGTTTAATGACAACACACACATGGACACAAAAGAAAATCACAATAAAAAGGACGGCGACAAATTGACAGGCAATAAAAGGTTTGTCACAAAAACTGAAAACAATCCATCTTATTTTGTGCTTTTACTAAAAGGCCTCAGCAAAACCTACGAGGTGACGTGGGGCGACATTCCTGGCAGCAGCGAGCTAGTTGCTGGGATAGTTACCAGCTCTTTCACACACTCACACCAACATCCTCGCAAACACATTACAGTTTAACAGCCCAGTTTATGTATCAAAATGTAAGGATGTAGAGCACTTTTACTAACCGATATTATCCCGCCAACAGTTTTTATGACACGTCTTCGGAGTATTTTAATACATGTCATTAAATTGCCAATTGCTACAAGCTCCTCTCTGAGCTGAGTTACGATTCAGTACGATGAGCTGCAGAAATTAAAAACTAAACAGTAATTAGGAAGTATTACCACTTCTTGAGGAACTTATAACCCCCTAAAGATACAGTACCAAACTTCATTGCGTTCTGCCTGCGAGCACTTGACAACTGAATGAGGTCAGTTTTACTCTGTGTTTTTGCACACAAACAATTTAAATGAGTATTAAAACATAAAACACATCTTTAATCCAATAAAGCTAGCAGTGACTGAGTCTGTAAAATCTAGGCTGGTGTTTGTTGGAGAGGAATGCATGGAAGTCTCCGTCCTATAATTGTCCTATTGTTCCACAATTCCCATAGCAGTTTGCAACATCTCTAACCAAAAACCTTTGTTCCTCTGCTCTCCATCCCATTTGTAAGTGCCGAGGGAACACAATATAGTATTTTATGGCACTCTTTGTTAGGGGAAAAAATGACGCAGGGAGTGTGAGAGCAGGGTCTTAACCTACTACCGTCTCTTGGCTTGTGAAAAAGCCAGAGGGTTGTGCATAATTTAGACCACCGACCAGGGAAAAAGATTTCTCGCTAGAAAAGATGGAATTTATTGAATTTCAGAGAAATAAAACACGCAAATGTCGACTGTGTAAACATCTGGAACTAAACTGCACTATCGAGCCTGTAGCTGTCAAATATTTAATCTGAATCTTAATTCAAACAGCACGTTGAAAAAGGTAATTTCCTGGGGGCTTGGTTCAAAAATGCAATTTCATTAAGTTCAACTAATGACTGAGAGTTGACTGACGGACAAATTGTGTGTGAAAGTAAAGTTTTCTAAGGAGCGCAGCTGGGTGAGTAGGTATGGGCCAAGGAATCATCAAAGGATCATCAATTTATTTTTCACTTTCATTAATATCAATTGTAACACTGTTGTCGATGGCAAAACAGAACAGTCAACTCAAACATCACTGTAGAAACAAATGCAGCAGGTATGTAAGAAATAAACGATCAGTAATTGTTCTAGCTTAATCTGGAATTATGCACATTCGTAAATAAAGTGAAGGGTTTGTCTTCAGGTACCCTTGTAGTTTCCACCATTTTGCATTTGTATTTGACGGTAAATAACATCAAATACCCAATTTATTAATTATAATTTATGACCAGTACGTTTTTGTTCCATCGAAAGGTAAGAAAACACAACCTTATATTCGCTAATAATGTAGAGTGGATTTATTGTGTGTGAGATCTTACACCTACCTCCCCCCTATGCTGGCTCTCTCTCTGAGGGTCTGCAGTAACATCTTGACCTCGGCTCTCACCAGCTCTTTGACTGCAGGGGGGTCAGCCAGAGGGGAGCCCTGCTGACGTGGGAGCCTTTGCTGGCTCTCCTGCCACATCTTGTACCACGTCTCCGCCTGCCAACGTCATGATTATGGTGAAGACAACCGGGGGGGTTAAACATACAATAATGTATCATAGCAACAGGATATTTATAAGACATGATATGCAGGCACTCTCTGTCAGTCCAGGTGACACATTCCCAGCTGACAGCTCATGATCCTGCACCAAGTGATGATACGGATAGAGAAAAACATTTTCAAAACACAATATGATTTAGTGAATCACTCTGGACAGTCCACTTGCAATATGTTACAAGCAGTGATCCAGACATCCGTCATCCAGCGTCTCCCCCTGACAGGCTCCCTGAGTGAGGATGATTGATAGGATGTGTTTTGGTGAGACCAAAATATTTGTGAAAAAGCAATTACACTGTGCCTGACCGTGTACCGGTGCAGGATTCCTTTTAAATGTGGCACCTGTTACTAAGAGGCATTGTTGACCAAATTACCTACTGTAAAGGAATCCTGGCTCTGTATCTGTGTGAAGTGTGAATTTAAAAGCGTTTATCTTAGAACTTACTTTAACGGACTATGGTGCAATCTATCTGGATTTTTTTCCTTCACTTTCTATTAGTGAAAACATTTTCAGGGCTGTCCTTGGCAGACTGTGTTTACAGTAAAATGCTGTAAACACTGACCGTTGTCTTCTTGGAACAGGAAGCAATACAACCTCTGGGTGCACAGGGACAGAAAATCTGGGCGCGACTTTCTTTCTGCCAAAATATTTTTGATGAAAATATGAAAACAGTGAGCTTTACTTATGTCTCATACACAGGGCTTTCTTTTAGTTCCATATCTTGCTTTCAACTAAAGGAGATGAACATGTAGCACAGACTGAGCATGATGGATTTAAGCTTGGTTATGTCATTAGACAAAGAGCCCTGTCTGTTGCAGGAACAGGCCGCTTTTTTAGTCTTTTTTCTAATTTTGCTAGGATTATCACTGCAGATCACAAAGGAAAAAGTCAGTTTTCTATGCATGACTTCCTCTATGAGCCGGTAGAAGGGCTAAAGCGCCCAGGACCATAGGTGTACCTGTACATTCAGCAGCTTGTTTTCTGCATCTGTACACAAACCTCGTCTGAAAAATCACCACTTTTAAACCACAAAGTAACAACCAAAGAAAAAAAATCATTGTGGGTTAAAAAAAAAAAAGAGAGGAGTGTGTGAATGCTTGCGTGCATAATGTGTCTCAGTGAGGTCTGGATATCATTAACACCTCCACACCTGTTGCCTGCCAATCATTTCTGTCATGTTGCAGTCAAAGACTTCACTTCAAACGAATCCACTGGAGAATACTAAACACACCACTTCTGGTCTTTGCATGTGTGTCCATTCGCATACTGGTATTAACACAGTATGCTGGACTCACGCACACACACACACACACGCACAACACGCACACAACACACACACAGCCCCTTTCACTCACACTGACTTCCTCTGTCTGTCTTTGGGTGTTGAGGCGTTTATGTTACAGGAATCATGGCTCACTGGCTAACAAGTTGTTCCTGGATCTTTTTTCCCCCCTCTCCCTCTGCTTTGAGACTGTTGATCTCATGCAGGAGCTATTTTAAGGGGAAGCGTTGTTGAAAGCTGTCAGTTAAAAGACCTACTAGGAGCCATTATGTTGAATTATTTAAATCGCGTTTTAGACTACATTTAACTAAAGGGCTCATTTTCATTCAGAGTAGAGAGAAGGAGTGAGAGTGTAGAGGGAGGTACAGAGAGATCAGCCTTGTAGAGAGACTTGAAAAGAGAGGCTAATGTTCCCTCTGATCCAACCGCCCGAGACAATGGAGACCTTGATGGAGGGAGGAACGGCGGTATTGAGGAATGGAGGAGTCGCCTGCAGATCAACTATTACTTTTCACAGTGGCTCACTGAGGGATGGAATTCATTACATGGCTGCAAGAGAAACAGACAGGGACAGAGGAGAGAAAAAATAGAGGACAAAGACATGGAGATAAGCAGATACAGACAGGAGGGAAAAAAAGAGAAAAGGAAGTGATCCTGCAGTAAAAGTAATAACTGAAGGAAACCTGCATGCACTAGTCTTGAGAGTTAAATAAGGCGCTCTTGTGCTTTGTTTTGTTTTCTCTCTGGAAATTTCTCAAAGCTCTCTCCGCCTAAGTCTTTCTTTCCGTCTGAGGGCTTTACGCCCAGCCACTGCATACACCGAACTGTAGGTGAAAAAAAAAACATCTGAGCAATACTTAAAGCCACACACACGGTACAGTACACACATGCATACACGTACACGTCTATTTCTCTACACACACACACACACACACAGTCTAGCCAAAGAATATGTGTCGCTAACGGTCTTATCAACAGTTGAGGATTAGCCTCTTTAACCCTGTTATACCGACCCCCTGACTCACTAAGCTTACTGGGCCTCTTTCTGTGTATGTGTGTGTGCAGACGGGGGCGTGTCTGTGTATGAGGTGAATTACTCTGCATCATTCTGGTTTGATTCTAGGTTTAATGCTTCTTTAAAAAGTGGTTTAAATGCTGGTTTTGTGATGTCAAAAGACATTCAATTTGACAATTTAATTGAAATGAATGTATAAGCGTTTTTACACGTTTTTTTTTTTCTGACTGTCTGAATGGCGACTGCAGAGCCGAGACAGACTGTCCATGTGTTTTTCTGCAGACAGCGACTGGCATTTGGCTCAACGCAGGCTGATAACATCTACAGATGGAGAGATTTCGATACTGAACAAACAAAAGAAGATGGCAGAAGGTATAAGAGTAGAAAAGCAAAGAATGTGACACTATTTGAGAGAGAAAACAGCAAAATACAGAGATTTTTATGCCCTACAGAAAGTGCTGATGAGAGAGATTCTTTGTGTCTGTGTGAAATCTACAGCGACAGACTTGGTCTTAAGTGCACATGGCATGACCTCTCTTATGTAATTCAGCTTGAAAGGAATTTTTTCTCAGTAGACGAGGCGGCACTTCTTCACACTTAGCTTTTACGGACAACCACTGAGCTGTTGTCAATGCACTGTAATGTCCTGTGGGTTTAATTTAAAGCTGCAATTATTAGTTGATTAATCAATCAGTCAGTCAACAAAATAAAAGACATTTGATGGTGAGACTTTGGGCTCTTGGAGCTCTTTTTTTTGTCATTTTAATCGAGAGTTGCAGCCCTAGATTTGTTTCTAACACAGTAAATATTTGCTGCATGTCAGCGTCATATCAAGCTATGCAAGCCACACAAATGACTCGCTTTAAATATTTCAAATTAAACGTAACCTTAGCTGTGAATGTTTATCATCGACCCAGCAAGTCTTTCTTGGATGAGGTCTTTTTTGCCAGAGGTGAGCGTTTTCTACGCGAGGGGCTTTGGGGCCGAGAGTTTAGCTGGCCTTGAGTAAATATTGATGTCTGTCTGGCTCACATTTGGACTTCACTGCAGCACAGTGCCAGTTAACCCACATTTCACTTTTATTAGGGAGCCCGGGAATTGTAATAATGAGTGTTTGCAGCCAAAATAACCTACGAACACAACCCAACACCCATCATAAATTGTTTGGGCAGGAATGCTTAGCTGTGCACATTTTCCGATTCACCCTGAAACCAAGCTCAAAAGGAAATTCTTGTAGATGGTGTGATGGTATTCTTGTCAGATCCTACCAGACGCAGTCTCTCAATTCTTTCAACGAGTGTGAAAAAACCATGAATGATGAAACAAGTTGGCTGAATCTGAAAAGAAACTAAAAAGCAAAGTATGCAGCAATATTTTGACAGAAAGAATAAGAAGTTTTGCAGTCGTAACAACCTTCTTCCTACCTCAGAGTGTATATCTGCGTACATGTCAACCAGGGAGTTGCCCAGCGCTGTACGGATCTTTTGCAGCTCTGACCCAGTGACATGTTCAGCGATCAGGCTCCACAGAGACTGGCTGGGGAACCAGAGGTGGTTTGCATCTGGAGACTGCATACGAATGGCAATCTGTGGGGGAAAGGAAACAAAAACAACATACACCATAACTGAGAGAGGCTGAATTTTGTTAGGAACTTAGGGTGTCCCTTTGAGTATTTTCATGTTATATCCTCACATCTGAACCTGGATCCACCACATTTTTGGGCATTTATGCTTCTAAAAATAATCAACTAATTATTGCAGCTCAATTCAAAACACACCCAACCTGTACGGATTTCACATCCATTTGCATCAGTAATAATTAATCCAATATACTGTATGTTACGGTGCATTTTCTTGCAATATGACTACTTTGACTGTTCTATAGCTACTTTTATTGTTAGGTAAAGGACCTGACTAGTTGTTGTTCATCCACCAGAACCAGAAGCTCTTAACTTAATCAACTTTGTCTACAATACTGAGAATGACATAAAGTTAGTAGAAAGCAGAAGTTAACGTCAGCTGGTTTAAGTGTAGCACGGTTAACTTCAGCTAACCAATCAGCGAACTACATGAGCAGCTGTGGAAATATAACAATCACACATTAACACAAAGGTGTTCATAAAACATATTACAAACGCTGACCGGTAACACTATGCTTGTGTAAACACTACAGACGTTTATAAAATTTGCGTTCACGGTGCTGTTGCGGAGAAACAAACGCTCACCTATAGGCTGCGGTATCCAGGGCAAACGTTCCAGTTGCTAAGAGGAGATCTCGCGAGATCGTCGGGAACCGTCAACGGTAGGTTTCTCCAGAGATGGGCCGTTTATCTCATCTGATACAAGCTTCATACTGTTATTTTATTAAAATTAACCTTAAATAAAGCATGTAGTGCAACATTATTTAATGTAACAAATGAGGCTGAATACTTATTCTATGCGTTGGAGTAATTACACACGAGACCACCTGTGTTCTTGTAAAAGTCTGGACTAATAAGATGTTAAACTGGGGGGAGGGACAGACTTCAGCTGAGACTGGTGTGTGTGTGTGTGTGTGTGTGTGTGTGTGTGGATATAACTTTCCCTCTTTATGCCCCCCAACCTCCACCTCCTTCCGGGCTCTGTGCAGAAGAGTGGTGCAGCCCCAGCAGACCGCTGTGGAAGAAAGTAATGCCAGGGTTTTTTTGCGCTCAGTAACAATGTAACAACCTAAACATTTGTGTAAACTTGGCATAACCTGTCTACTAAATCCCAGCCGGACTACAGTGGATGCTTGCAGCCCACTTACTTACCTGTTAACCTTTTTGTTTTGGGACAAGGTGAATCAATCATGGTTTGCAGTGAGCGCTTTTCCTTGGTGCGCAGAATACGCACAGCCGTTTTGGCACTACTGCTTTGCGCACAGGCCGGGTTTGGCTTCTCAGTCGCCGGACAGCATGAAAGCACCTGCGAGGCAAACGGCAGCATATACTTCGTTGGGGAATGGTATTTTTTGGACTCTGATCACTGCACCCAGTGTGAATGCACCACCGAGGGCTCCGCCTGTTCCCGCACCGAGTGCACCGCTCTCCCGGCTGCGTGCATCCATGTCAGCCACTATCCCACCGACTGCTGCCCCAGGTGCGAGAAGATCGGGTGTGAGTACCGAGGAGTGGTGTACGAACTGGGGCAGAACTTCCAGGTAAGCTTTCATGGTAACTTGCAAAGATGGGGATGGTCAGTGATGGCTTCGAGCATGTATGAATGACCCTACAGATATTATTGTTATTATAGGGCCTTAAATGTTTTAAATTACTTTTCTCATATGGAATCAGAATATAGACTTGATATCCACCAGATTCAACGCAGTACATATAGTAGTGGTTCCCATCTTGGTGGTCAGGGCTCAAGAAAACCCTGTTCTTTTCTGACTTTTCTCTAAATTTTGTTAAAAAATTTAAAATAATACCACAAATTCTATCAAAGAAAGACATAGACACTATGAATACCCCAGACACAGAGGACAAAATGACATTTTGTTTTCAGAAAGGTGAGCTTTTCATAGTGTGCAGTGAAGCCAGATTGTAAAGTGTTTATCACACAGGTATCATAAATAGAAAGGTGAGCAGCAGCTCAACACTGTTTATGTGTAAACCTCAGGTTTCTTGGTCTGTTTCATGCAGGTTTGACCCTGTTCTTCAACTACTGTTCATTAAAATATGTGGCTATGCACAAGCATATTTTTAAAATTAAATATATACCCATGACACAGTTTGCCTAAGTTTGTATTATAACCTTTAAGGATAAGCCTATTTACATCTTCTTCACTGTATTTCCTTCCAAAAATGTTGGTATATAACTTGAGTGTGCAGCAGGGAATTGGAGGTAAATGGCGCCCCCTTTTGAGTTGGCAGAAGGAGGGATTGGTGAGAGGTGCTGGTGAAATTGTGATCCATGTTGAGTGTCATGCTATTTGTTTATATGTGTATGTGTGTGTGTGTGTGTTTCCCAGCCGTCAGAATGTGAGCAGTGCACTTGTGACAGTGATGGCATCGCCCGCTGTCTAGTTGCAGATTGTGCCCCTCCACCATGTGTCAACCCCGTCTACCATCCTGGGAAATGCTGCCCTGAATGCAAGGACGGTAAGTTGACAGTAGCAAAAAAAAGAGAAAGTTTAAAATAAGTAAAACTCCTCTCAGAGATGCAGCAGGAGATTTATGCACCACTGTTAAATGTAGTTGTAATTTGCATGCAGGGATTAGTGTGTACACACAACACTGTCCACTTGACAGCTGCAGTTACACTTACCTCTCTTGCTCACCTCCCTCCAGGTCCTAACTGCTACGTTAATGCGTCACGCAGTCAGGTGATTCCCTCAGGAGAGCCCATCTGGGTCGACTCCTGCACCAAGTGTCGCTGTCACGATGGCCAGGATGCCGGATACTGGGAGGGAAACCGTCTCGCCACCTGTTCCCGTCTCAAAAACTGCACGCCCGAACAACCAACCACCCAGAAAAACTGATTTACTTTCAGCAGAAAACCAGTGAATTAATCAATACACATCCTATCTCTAAGAACAGGCTGAACCCTCCTGTGCAACTGAACATGTCAGTGGTATAGCAAGACGTAAAGGATCATCTGCAACCTCATAAATTCAAGTTTTTCTGGAACAGAGCTGAACGAGAACCAAAGAAATTATTTTGAAAACACCAAAAGCCATCAGAGCAGATCAGCTGCCACACAAGGACTTTTTTTAATTCAAGAATTCTGCAATTCTGATGAGACCCACTGAATCTGTCACTTTGGTGGACACGGCTGCCCCATTATCAGGCCTTAGCTGCATATTACACACAAAGCCGAAATGCAAGGTGGATTCACAGAGCTTCGGGTTCACTGCATGCCAGGGGGTTTGGCAAATTGACTAACTGCAAATTTGTGAAGACATTTTCTAAAGTACAATATCGACAAAGACAGGCCTTGCATTATTATCTATGTTAGATAAAATGTGATCCTGTTGTGTGGATGAGCTCTGAGCAATATCTAGGAGAACTTCATTATTTTTAGTTGATTGTGCTTCTATGGTGCATATTCCCGAATAAAGTTGTGTTTATTGAAATTACCACAAATTAACTGAGATACAGAAACCTAGTGGCCAGGTAGTGTTACTGTACTCCAGCATAGAAGTACTGGTTGGCATATACGCAGTACATGTGGACTGGTTAGTGGAGGAGCAGTACTGGCCCCAATTTTAACTCTGTGGCCCCTACTAGGTTAATTTGGCTATATGTAAAGAACAGATAGGACTTGTATCCTGCCAGCTGAGAAGATGAATTGCAGTCCTTGAAAACCAATGAAAACAGTGAAAATAGGGTTAAAACTATCTGTATTTAGTAAGATGGACTGCAGTGATGTTTGATTTAGAGATCCATAAACACCCTTGGGCAGAACATTTATGTAAAAATCCATAATTAAACAAATCTGACAAGAACTAGAAAAAAACAAACTTGACCCTTGAAAGGTTGCTCACTCACTCCAGATATTCAACCTTTTTAATTTTATTTTATCTGCCTGCCCACAGCAAACAACAATAACAAAGCCAATAACATTATTGGATGTTGAGAAATTGTAAATTACCTGTCTTAGTTTGATGCAGCACCCATATGTATTCACAGCTGTGATGCTATTTAGACTAGGAAATGGCTGAGCAAAGCAATTAACAATTTGTAACAATTCTATAAATTCTGCAATTCAACTTCTACGCTAATTGAAATACAATGTGTGAGACTATGGCCAAACATATGACTGTACAGTAGTTGTAGATGATGTAGCGATTTGTGAAGACAGGGTTTCATTTAATGGAAAGCTATTTCTTCATGTACACTGTAGAGCAGGAAAAACAATCTGTAATTTACTGCTTTATTAATTTTCCACGAGAAAGAATGTGTATCCTTTCATAGAAACAGCCCTCCTTGTAATTTCCACTATTATCAAAGCGTGCTGTTGTTATTTACCTCCTACAGAGTGATCTTCAGTGTGTGATGAAATGCAGCGTGAAGTGTCATTTTATTCTTCCTACCTTTATGTGTCATTATCTACCACTTTAATGAGGGACCTTTGAATGGAAACCAAAAATAATCTTGTTGCCTATGTACGGTGTTGGGCCCTATAATGGCGTTTCATTTACTGCGTATTTAAGACTCCCAAGCTGCTAGCTACATGATGTATATCATTAAAACTGACAGGTTTCACAGCCTTAATTCTCCCTGAAAAGCTTCTTTATGCAAGGTTTTGGGTTGAATTTTAACTTTTAGGGTTATGATCCCGTTTTAAATCTTATTTTATCTTTATGAATGAATACACTCTTACTGTATTTACAACATTGTCTAAGAATGAGACTAAATAAGATCTCAACAATGCTCTTACATAGCTATCATCTTAACTCCTGAATGAGCAGAAAGAAACGGGGTTAAAGGAATTGTTTGACATTTTATTGCAGAGTTAGCTGAGAAGATTGATACCACTGTCATGCCTGTTTGGTAAATATGAACCTATAGCTAGCAGCTGGTTAGCTTAGCTTAGCATAAAGACTTTGAACAGCTAGCCTGACCCTGTTCAAAAGTAACAAAACCCACCAACAAGCACCTCTAAAGCTCACTTATAAACACTATATCTTGTTTATTCCATCTGTACAAAAAACCCCAAGTGGCTTTTTACACTTTGGTTTAAATACGGCTTAAACAAACAGGATACAACATAATCATAAAGTGAACTTCAGAGGTCAGAGTCAAGCTAGCTTTTTCTGCATTTACAATCTTTATGCTAAGCTAAGTTAGCTAGCTGCTGGCTGTAGCCTTATATTTACTGTACAGGCATAGTAGTGGTGTCAATCTTATCATCTAATTAATCTAATTCTCGGCAAAAAAGCAAAAAACTATTACTTTAAGTGGAGTTTCAATATACTGCCTAAAATAAAAGGGAAATTATATGAATCGCTCCCACAAATCATGTCATGCTGGTAATATAGACAAGCTCTACAAAAACATCTTGTAAAATATTTCAAATTAAACCATCTTTCTTTTAAATATCTCTCACTTTCTGTTTCTGTGTCAACAAGTCTGAACAGTTTGGCTCTTGGATGCCATCCTGATTTCCCTGCAGAGCTTTTCTGCTGACAGTTTGGCACTAGTGCTCCCTGCAAAACAATAAAAGAAGCAGAAAGTAGAATAGAGACAAAGCGACACCTATACTTTGTAGCATTAAAGATATGTTTATATGTTTGGGAGGGTGGCAGGAAGGACAGAAAAGATAAAATGAAAGACTGCAGAAGTCAAGCCAAATGTAATCCACGAGGCGGTACAGCATTTTAGTCCACCAACTCACTGGGACCACACAGAAACAACAGTAACAGGTTTATGTGGGTTGTCACGGCAACAGGACACAGGGTTGCCAAAACCTGCCGATATTACATTAAATATCTCCGGGATTATCTCAGTCTGCAGATAAAAAAAAAATATTATGAAGTTTCTATTCAGCCACCAGAGTTTGACTGACTTTTTCAGTAACCCTGTGAGAGAAAAAACAATCACAGCAACACATACAAAACAAGTGACAACAACATATAATCTTTAACCATCAGATTTATTGATTGTATAGAAAAAGTAGGTTTGATATGACATAATGCATTCTATATAAGATATAACATTTTCAACATTCAATGTACAAAAAAAAACATAACTAGAGATACAGTAAATGTTTAAAAATGCCCAACAGGCCTAAAAGTCCTGTTAGTTCTCTGCAGCAGACGAGCAAAAAACGTATTTAAAAGAAAACGTTTCAAATACTTAACCACATGAGGTTTGCTTGACAACTGGAACAGCTTCAAAAGCCCAATAAGAAACATCAAGCACTCCTCACGGTTGTTCTCTCAAGTAAAGGAAACGTTTCAAATACTATTTTTGCTGAAGTTTCTGCTGCTGATCTTTACATCTATATCCCAAGTTACTGTTTATACACACTGGGGTCATGCCTCTCTTGCTATATCCTCCATTTTGTCCAGTCACTCCTCAGCTTGTACTTTTTTTTATGTAACTGACCTCATAAAGAGTTGCCTGTAATTAGTCAGAGTACCCTTGATAAAGCTACAATTATAAAGGGTCAATCTACAGATTTTATGCATGAAGTGTAGTTTATTGGTCATGAGGAGTGACTCAACCTTTAAGAATAGCTGTATAATTGTCTTCTGTGGCTCTGGAGGGAGCTTTTAGAAGTATGCTAGCTAATTTACAGTAACACAAGGACTCTCCTGGATAATGTAATGATCCTACAGGTTTATGTTATAACAACAAGTTTTAATTATTTCAACAAAATCATGTTTGTTTGCAGTCTGGAGGACGGCTCTGAAAAAAACTACAGTACTCATGAGCCTCAGCTGCTCTTGCTGTCAGAGCAAATTCAAAACGCTTCGTTGTTGAGTGTGTGAACAAGACATGTTGCCTTAGTTGGCAAATTTCAAATCAAAATCAAAGTTACTTAGCCTGCAGATTGTGCAGATGTTTAAGATATGTCATTGAATGTTTTTTTGCCTAAATGCACCTTGGGAGTTCTAGTTGTTAATCTTCTGTACTGATGATTTGACCATGGGAGTTAAATGCCAATCAAAGCTGTAAAATTGCTTCAACTGTGAGTCACGTAATATTGTCTATGGGAAAAATGTATGTGACTTTTACTTGCAGGCCAAGTTTGCAATGTTGTGAAAGACACTATCAAGGTGCATTGTGGGAAATGTAGGATTCTGGGTTTTTGTGTCATGACCCATACTAGGAACTTAAGTCAGGATATATTAGCCTCTGCTGCTTCAATTTTGACCATTCTTGGTTTTATCTATCCCTCAAAAGACACCCAACTTTATTAAAGTAAAACATTAAATTGCTGAAGTTCCCCTTTAACACTAAGAATGGGAAAAACAGATGAATTAGAGGTAACAGATGAAAGATAAGCATGACTGCATTACAAACTGAACTGAAACCAACAGCTCGTCCCACTTTAAAACAATGACTTTAAAGCAGGATATGGGGAATATGTGAACATATCTCTGCTATTGCACAGGATAAACTGTAAACAGTATAGAGAAGATATTATATTGACCTCTCCACATGTAGTGTGCCCACCGAAGAGACTGAAACTCACCAGGAGAGCTCTGCACTCTGAAGCATCATAATAAGGAAAAAGAAGACGGGTAGAAAGGAAAAGAAAGTCAGATAAAGCGGAGGAGAGAATGATAAAAGGCGAGAGACAGACATAGTCACAGATGGGGATGTGTGCTGAGAGGGAGAGAATAAATAGAAAAATAAAGATACAGTGAGTGGCACAGATTCAGAGACACAAAGAGAGGCCTTGTCGATATCTATTGAAAGAAGAAGCACTCTTGTGAGACACAGCTGTGCCTGAAGTGGGCCCACCACAAAGCACAACAGAGTGCCATTGACACACACAGCCTGGACTGGCAGAGTAAGAAAGAAAAGGCAATGAAAGAGGAGATAATGCAAAGAAAAAAGGGAAGACAGCGTGAATGCATGTGTGTGTGTGGAGCAATCATACCTCCCAACAGGCTTGAGGCGAAGATAACGGAGAGCCAAACAGATGGGAGCATTTTTGCCTCAAGGCTGACCAAAGAGGAGACCAACTATACACAATTTTCACCAAAATAAAAGCCCTGTATTGTTCAGAATGATACAAAACTCAAACAGTTACAGCACTGCACACAAATCGTCTGTCTGGAAATATTCTGTATAGGTTTTGTCGTGATCTCGACTTTTATATTACCTATCTTAAAACACACATCTTAATCGATTAATTTTACACACAAAAATTACCTTTAAATGAAAAATAACCTTTCCTGCCCCTTAGTATACATAACTTCTGAAGGCATCAGTTTGGTGTTTAGGCTTAAAAAGTAACGGCATCAACAGTAGGAAAAATGGAAGGAAGAAGAGTGATGTATCAAAGCATACAACAGTCAAAGGCTTCAATATTCTGATGTAGGAAATCCCAATCAAATATTGTGTTTGTTCCTTTTTCACACAGGGAAAGTTATGAAACACATATGGGACAAAAAAAAAGTTTTAAAATGAAAATTTCCCAACAGAATTGACAGCAGATGATGAAAAAAAACTGAAGCTGCAATAGAGATGTCAATCAAACCGCTCAAACGATAACTTCTCATTACTGCATTAAAATTCACAATTTCCACCAAGAGAAGATCACCTCATAATTTCCTCTTTCCGGATATGATGGCCTTTCTCTCAAAGATTGAAAGAAAAAGATAGCAGAGAGAGAGAGAGAGAGAATGGCATAGTAACAGTTTCAACTGAGTTTTAATGAATTGTGATACTTTAAAAAAAAATCAGACTCCCAGGTTACATTGTAGAATAAAAATGACCTCCAAAATTCATTACTTTTCTCCTAGTGCTGTCTGTAGAGCCAGTGTAAAAGTTACAAGAGCTTTTGTATCCACAATGCTTTTCCCTGTAAAACATAATTCATGACTTTATCTTGACAGCTCATTTCTGATGTTAAACCCCAGTTGTGCCCCATATGTTATAATATGGTGAACTTCCAATTTTCTAATGAGAAATACATATTTCTACTAAATCAAATCTGTACTTTAAGGAATATTATTGTACCTCAAGGCCATTTACATCTTGTCCAGACACAAATGTACCTTTAAAGCACAGATTACCAAAATAAAACCTTGTTCAAGTGGGGTGGAAAAAAACAAGTTTCCAGGAACCTAATCTCCAATATCTGTCACATGGGGTTACAATCATGACTGACTCAGTATATATTTGCCTTGTTGTCTTCAGTTCCTCGATTTGATTTCAAATGTGTTCCCAAAGTAGTTCCACCACGCCGCATTCAGCACAGGAGAAAACTTTTCATCTCTTCAATATGTTTACTTTTGCGAAACCTTTCCGTCACTCCACTAAGTACGTTTCCAAAGTTTTAGTTTATATATATAAAAAAAGAGAACGAAAAGAGAGTTCTCAGGAGTTTGTTGCTGCTGACGAACATGTTTTATCAGCGTGTCCCAGCACTGTTTTTGAGTCTCCTGCGGTAGATGCAGGCACAATACACATTCATTAATTGATACCGGAGGATTTGATTGAGTAAGTAGATCCAAACAGGTGACTCCCTGACAAAAAAGTCAATGTTCAATCGTCTGTGAGCCGGCTGATTTCTTTGAAATGTAATCCATCAGATGAAATTCCATCGACCATCACTACATGTCACCATATTTAGTTAATGTTACAGTTACAACTAATGGAAATCTCCATTATCTTGACCATCACTGTGAATGCTTGGAAAGTAAAATTTTTGATGGCATTTGTAAGGTTGTTGTCCATCAGGTGGAAACCAGCAGGTATTTCTGTCTCTGTATCCACGTAAAAAGCCCATTTTTTCTTTTTCTCTATATGACCTGGGTCAAATATTCCAAGAAATCCAACTCGATGCTCTCCAGTATTTTCAGGACAGGCCATGAAAACGTTCCAAAGTTTCAAATGAAATCATCCAACAATAGCTCCCATCAATACCCTCCGTCGATATGCCATTGAATCACCTCCAGTCTACAAATGATTATTAATGGAAAGACTCCCAAGTTTCAGCTTTCAGTCAAGTTTGACACCAACCCTTTTGGTCAGCCACTGATATTTGAGCTTTTGGTCCACTCTTTGATTCTGAAGTCACTGATTGGTAAAGGTAGGAGGTGTGAAGCCATTGGCTGCTTGAAAAAGTTGTAGGAGGAAAGAGCCTGAGTCCTGGTTAAAGAAATGGCTGAAATCTAAAAACAAAAACAAAGAGAGGGGTAAAGAGGGAGAAAGAGACCAGTGTGTGCTTTTGACTTTTTCCTCTCTCTTACACTCCCGTATCTTTCCAGGATATGTGTTCCCTCTTTGTTTCATTCTTATAAGCTCTCTTCTTCTTATTATTTTTTCCTTCCAGTCAAGGTGAGTTGACCCCCTCATCTTCCTCTCTCTCCCTCCCTCTCTCTCTCTCTAGCCCTTAAAAGGCCGGGGTGGTGGTTTGCCGATCTCCACAGAGATATTTGTGTACAGAGGGTACCTCTTGAACTGAATCACTCTGTAGGTCAGAGAGCTGATACCATCCTTCTTCATCGTGTTCTTCGTGTTCTGTATTTTATTAAATCTGGAGGGTGAAACAAAAACAGAGAGGTGGGAGGGTTGGGGAAGATGGAAGAGAGAGGTAAAGGGAAATGGGGGAGGGGGGGACAATTTCATTAAAAACAAAATTGGGAAAACTTCAAAGTAAAATCTTCTTTGCCACTATATCAGTGCATGTTTGTGTGGGTCTAAATGGGTGATATCAGCGTGTTTAATTAAGATTATTTTACTAATTAACAAGTCTGCAAATCAAAGATTAAAAGAAAACTTTAAAAACAACAACATGACTTTGTGTTGCATTAATACGTTTTCCTCTTTAGTTAATCATCTAGCGACCCCTCAAATCTTTTAGCGACCCCTTGCTGGAGTCCCGAACCACTGAAACGCAGGTACACATGGGAACTGGATTTCACAATCGTGGATCCCGAGGTCCAAATTAATAAGAGAAAGGAAATAAACACATCACAAAACATGAGAATAAATCAATGCAGAGAGCAATCAGGAAATCAAAATAATGTAAATACATATTGGAAGTAATACGAGAGAAAAAAAATAGTGCTCAAACATGGGGGAAGCGATTATAAGGTGCTGTATAATGAGTGACTGCTAATATCAACATCCACAATAAAATCCACAGGATGTTAAGAGCCTCTTTTTTCTCCCCCTCTTGGTTACTTTACATGTTCAATAACCTGAAATCAGAGAGAAGAAACTGTTCTGTTGGATTGTATAACTGAAGTACACATCCAGTTTCCTTTACTGTGTAGATCTCGACCAACAGGTGGTGCTACTGCATTGCACTGTGACTCAGTGAATAGTAGTACGGTATATATCACATCCACCTTGGTTTGTTTGAATTATGCTGGAATCTCCCTTCCCCTATTGGCTGTTATTCAACGGTTACATCAGAATCGGCTCTTACGTTAGAATCTGCTGTGATTTTAGTATTAAGATGGGAAAATAATTCACACAGTGTGTCAGACAGTTACACGGTGCGGCTGCTGCGCTTCAGTTCAGTTTGTGATGCAACCTCTGGCATTACAACGGATTCGTAACACAAGCTCTCCTGTCACCCTTGTTGTAGTATCAGTTTTTGCAGTCAGTCAGGATGGAAACAGGCCACGGTGTGTGAGTGTCTAACAGCATGTTTACAACACTCTTGTTTTAAAAAATGCCTTTTTTTGTCTGTGAACAGAGAAAGAGCTGATGTGTGCAAAAACGCACAGCCCTTTCAAAAGACAGCAGTGACTGACTGCAACAAAAGACGTTTTCTTAATGATATGCTTGGACGTACAACTGGAGTTGACACTTCAGTCCGACATGGACCACTGAGTCCACAGAGTCTTGTCAGAACTGACTAGTGAGGATCTCTCTTCTCTCTCTGCATCGCTTTCTCCTTCTGTCTCTCTCAAATCAAATCAAAAACAGCTTTATTGGCATGAATGGAAGCAGGAAAAATGTTGTCAAGCATCTTTCCCTAGAACAATATAATACAATAAGATATAAATAGAATTACGTGTTATCTGACTTCTACCAAGGATCGGCGCCTCTATCTAAAAGGGAGGGAAATTAGTTTAAGAGAAAGAGTGCAAGGAAGAGAAAGGAGAGGATAGGAAAAAAAGCAGTTTAAACTGAAATGAGGGCTGGATGAGAGGGGAGAAACATGGAGGATAGATAGGCAGGAAGATAAATATATATATATATCTGAGAAAGAGTGACAGATGGAGGGGACAAGATATACTGATATTAAAAAGTAAGTGAATGGGGG